CACACACACACCCCACACACACACCCCACACACACACCCCACACACACACACACACACCTCGCCCCTCCCAGAGCTCGTGAGGTGAAGCTCCCACAGAACCCCGAGGAGCAGCCCCGGCTTCTCGCCCGCAGCGAGGAGCGGCTTTTCCAGAGCGCTCAGGAGCGCGGCTTTCCCTGGAGCAGAGCCGGGACGGGGCTTTTCCTCGCGCTTCAGCGCATCCTGAGTGGACGCGCGCCCTGGATTAAGTAAGGAGTGACTATTAAGTAAGGCTAGCTATTAAGCCAAGCTCGCAGCAGTCAGCTGGCTGCGCCAAGCAGGTTGCGGTGCCACCCAAGGCAAGGGGTTACTTCTGGCTCGATTTATGCGTTCTTTTTTAAAAATCATATGCTGTTTCCCGCCACAGAATGTCGAGGGTCATAAAAGCTCTTCTGCCCCCTCACACAGGCACTGGGATAAAAACCTCCCTATTTTTTCAGGCTGGGCTGCTGCCAGGACCTGACAGCCACTGTGTTTGGGGAAGCCTGAGGAGAAAACTTAAACACTGGTGTTTATTGTGTATTTTTCAGAAAGACTTCGCATATCACTGAGGCTGAGCATCGGGCAAGATCTGTCAAGAGTCAATTTTTGCCTAAAGAGACGTGTTTGGGAAAGAAAACACAGTTTTCTGCCTAATTAGACAGGTTTGAGACAGAAAACACAGTTTTACAAAGGGACAGGTGAATTAGCAAAGAAAACCACAAAAAAAAAGTTGAAAATCACCAGCATACCCATAAAGACACATTGTAGCAGGTCAGTTCTTTGCAAGAATGTTGCTCCAGGCACCCTTTTGGTCCGGGAAACCTTGGACCGCTGTTACCAATACAAGAAACGTTTTCTAAATATATGCACAAAAAAATTTTAAATACCAGTGTTGAACCCCTACACCCACAGTTGTCTGTGTGCCTTTCACTACACAGCCATGAGCAGTTAATCCAATGCTTCACAGCAGATTGCATCCTTCGTGTTATCTGTTAATTTAATTTTGACCAAAACATTTCTGCTCTTGAGCTGTTTTCTCTCAGTGAAATCCCTTTATTTAGTTGTGAACTATCTCTGTACTTTACCGAGTACACTGATTATTTCTTAATTGCATCAAATGCAACACTGAAAAGGGGTTTTTTTTCTTCTTCTTTTGGCCATGTTTATCGTAGGCTCTGTCATAAAAAAAATGTCAAGTCACTTTAGCCAAGTGCAGTTAGGGAGCAATGTATCTAAATAAAAATACTGTAATATATCAGAACCATAAAACATTTTAGTACTGGGGCCCAGAAAACATTAATCATTATCTTACACTGTACATGCTGCACACTTCTAAACCTTGTATAAAAATGCAATTACTTGAAACATCATGTTACTTTGAGCAGGCACACAGACTTCAGCATTTTTAAAGCAGGAAAGCAACAAAACAAGAGCAAGAGAGAGGCTGGACAGGTCTGCTTCTCAAGGGAAAGGAGTACTGATCTGATCCTTCAGCCACAGGCCACATTTACCAATTTAATTACAATTACTGTTTGCCAGAAGAATCATAATGGAGTGTGTTATTAATTATTTGTCCATTCAAATATCACATCCAGCCGGTTAAGTCATCAATAAAATCATGGCTTGAGTGGCAAAACAAACAATGTGCAGAGCAAACACTTGAGAGCATCCATTTCTGGGCTAGATGTTGTTAGTAAAGTTATCCCACAAACAGCCAGACAGCAAATACGTTCACTGAACACAGAATTCACAGGGAACCACACTGAAATAATGTGGATTTTTTTAAGAGTTGGGGTTTTTTTATTTATGTAAGGATATTATGAAAGGCAAGAAAATAACAGTGCATTGTTCTCCAGCATAAACCAATCAATTTAAAGCCATGCAAAATGGCTAATACTGTTATTGCTGTCCTTTTTCATAACTCAGTGTCGTTTTATTCATCTTGCCCCTAAGAAATGACCTTTTCTGTGCATATCCCCACCTTTTTCCACAAATCCCCTGAGTGACAGAATCTCATCCTAATCCCATTTCCATTTAGACGTTGCAGGAAAGCACTGTAGACCTTCGAGGGAATAAGTAATCATAATGGAAAGATAATAATATGTTTATGAAATCTGGATTTTATAATAGCAAATTGAAAAATTACAATAGCATTTCAAGCCACCGAAGGTCAATGTTACTAAGAGCAAAAAGCCATTGATCAAGTGTGTTTAAAGTTTCCCACTTTAGGTTAATTTTTAACACAAAACATCTCTATTTCAGAGAGCAGCACCTCTCTTCTGAGGCAATTCCTCATCTACCTAGTGAGCACAAAACCTGGTGTTAAAGCCAGTGGTTGTTTGTAAGGCAAAAAATATACTCAGTGTTTTTCTACAGACCTAAAAAGCACAGGACAACTTCACAAGGCCCCTACAAAATGCATCACAGGCCACAGTTTAAGAACTCCAGCCCTTAGTAATTCTTAAAGGTAAAAACATATGTAAAATCTCATAAATAAATATATCAAAATACTACTTTCAACATTATGCAGCTGTACCTTTTTCTACTAGAGGTGAATTTGCTTGCTTATGCCTAAAAAGAGCACCAAAGTTGTACATACAGAAAACCACTGAAACTTCACTGAGGTCCTAGATAAAAAAAAAACCAAAATCAACCAAAACCAAGCACTTAAACCATGTCCTCAGCTAATTAAGGAGTTTCCCCCTCTCTTTGAGCTTCAGCTTTCCACTGTTTTAAGAGCCAGCTCAGACACACCAACAGCCACTGGGACTAGGTGGAGTTTTCTGTGACTAAACCAGCAGTTGTTACCTGAAAAAGATTTTCTTGTACTCCCGCTCCCCCTGAAGGGCTCAATGCTGCTGCCAAGGGTGGTTGTGCTCCTCCCTTCACCCTGGTCCTGGCCCTGCAGCCCCTTCTCTCTTATCCCAGCTCTGGTTCCCAACCAATCCCCTTGTACCACGGGACAGTTCGTTCACTGATGAAAAGCTAATTGGGTTTTTTTTTTGCTGAGTTCATTTTAGGCTGGCCTGACTTGCTGAAACTGTGACAACAAGCACCAGAGCTGACACGAAGAAAGCATCAGGAGAGCACATCCACACACCAAACCACCCCTTTTGGAGACAAGATGTGAGATCAGACGCTGCAAGAGCACACAGGTGAGAACCAGCACCCTGCCAGGCCACAGCCTGTCACTGGCACAGTTTTTGCATGTACTGCTTCCTTTGTTTATCCAAGAAATTCTTCCCACAAAGTACTTCTTGATGAATTTCCATGGGGATCTCCCAGCGACCTTCCAGTACCTGAAGGGTGCCTAAAGGAAGGTGGAGAGGGATCCTTCATCAGGAAGTGTAGTGAGAGGATGAGGGGGATTGTCTTCAAACTGAGACAGAGTAGGTTTAGGTGAGGTGCTAGGAAGAAATTCCTCCCTGTGAGGGTGGGCAGGCCCTGGCACAGGTTGCCCAGAGAAGCTGTGGCTGCCCCACCCCTGGAAGTGTTCCAGACTTAGACTGGGCAGAGCATGGAGCAACCTGGGCTAGTGGAAGGTGTCCCTGCCCACAGCAGGTGTTGGAACTGGATGGTCTTTGAGGCCCCTTCCAACTCAAACCATTCTATGATTCCATTTGTATTGAGTGTCTACGCTGTGCTTTTATTTCTGGCTGGTTTAAAACCATCTTACATCATTAAGAATTCCCAAACTCGGAGGCTCTGGACATGTCCATCATGACACCTTGATACAAAACAGTGCAGCTGCTCACAAATGTGCCTGAAGCAGCAAATGCCTCTGTTGTGATGATTCTGAATGCAATTATTCTTCTGTATTTGAGAAGTTTAACATTAGAAAACACACGCAGGTGACCAAACCAAGAACACCGATTATCTATTAACAGCAGGAACTAATTAAGTAAGCACTGGCTATTTTAAACTGTGTTGGGGCTAGAGGGCTCTCAAGGCTCGTGTTCATCTTTGTACACATAGGCAAAATCTTGGAACTGTTTTTGGCAGATGACCCAGCAAAATGAGTGATGCATGAGCATTAATGCATTCACATAAATTAACTCTGCACATAAAAAACACAGCCTTTAAGCCCAATTACATCTTTCCCAATTGTGCAAATACTCCCTTTGCAGTCAGTGGCAACTCAAGAAGACGAGGCCAATCCATATGTTATATTGATTCTAAAGGCACAAGAGTCTGCAGTTAATCCCTTTCAAACCTTGCAGAGCACAAACTCTTGGAGATCTTCCAAGCAGCCAGATGAAAGTTGCCTTTCAGAACCAGGGAATGTATGTTGCTAGAGATTCCAAAACATGCTGGGCCAAAATCTGGCCTTGCTTTTACCAGTGCAAAGTGGGACTGTTTCAGGAGAGATGTGTATTCATACACCAACATAAAACTGATCATTATCTCACAAAAAGGTCTGTGATGCTAACACGCCTTCCTGGTAATTCCCAAGAAAATCAAAGCACAGATCAACAAATGAAAAGGCCTTCTTCCAGCTAGAGGTGTTGTAACCCCTAAAACATTTGTCAGACACCTCATAACAATTCTGAGAGTCTTCTGTGCTGCTAATAGGTTTTACCTGGAGATAATTCAGATACCAGAGTGAGGACTGACAGCATAAATCTTCCCAGATAAGTAAAAAACTGAGCTTCGTTTTCCAGGTTTCTTCACCACAATTTAGAAAACTCACATAATAAAAACAAATTCTGAAACGAAACAAAATATGTTTGTATAAATTGCACGGTGAAACAAGCACTCAAAACTAAAAGGACCTAACTTTACATTTTTAAATGATAAAACTACTCCCTGTTCCCAGATTGCTGGGAAGTGCTAAGTATACTCTCAGCAAACACTAATTTTCAGAACACTAAGGTCAGGATTTTTAGAACACCAAGGTCAGAAAGGTGAGTCCTTGCTACCCAGTCCATTAAGATTATGTTTAACTACTTTTAACTCTTGAACCGTTTTAAAGAGTTGCCTCAAAACTCACAGGAAAAAACCCAGCCATTATTGACAAATAGCCATTGATAAATTGGGGAAAATCCATTATTTGTCTCAGAAACAAAGAAATTTTTAATGTAGACAGAACAATAATATTGTGAGATTATGGCTTAAAAATTCACTGTATATGCACCTTATGAAGAAAGTTACTCTTTGTCTAAATTAAGAAAGCCAGAAGATGCAACTCCAGTGATTTTACACCAAGCAAAGAGTTTATATTATGAAGTTAAATGTAATAAAGTGCTATAACTGTTTTAAGTAAGTGCCTAAGAGGAGCACAGACTATAAGAGCAGAGAATAGTGTGCAGAAATTAGAAGGAAAAGAGAAAAATACATAATGTATGATGTAAAAAAGAAACAGATAACGAAAATTAAAAGGATTTTACTAGAGGAAAACAATTTCATTTTATTGTAAAGCTCTAAATGAATAAAATAAAGTCTTTGAATGTGAAGATGATTAAAAAGACAAAATCATTAGCTAAAGATATTTACAAGTTTAGACTTTCATTTTGATTGTAATTTTAATTAGCTGGACACTAGGGGGGATGAAAATGAAAGCCTACATCATCTACTTACTCTTTAAATTGCATTCCACCTTAATTTTCTGCTCTTCAGTTCTTAATTTTCTCTATTTTTGTTCTAACTAATCCGGTTATCAGAATAAAGTGATTTTCTCTCAGCCAGGTTTAACATTCAGTATTTGAGTCTGTGAACCAAAAGTTCATCCCACTGCTTCAATTTTTATTCTTTCAATAGCAGAAACTCTCCAGGAAACTTTTCCAGTCTTTTGTCTGTTCAGCAGGGTGCTTTATGTACACACGACAGTTATGTAGCTAATAAGAAAGGATTCTATTTTAAAAATAATTATGTTCCATTTACACAGTTTCCCATGAAATTTACTCATAAAATGCAGGATGCACCGAAAGATTAAATGCCATTTTCCTCTTCATTAAAGCCATTTCTCTAAATGTAACTGAGTTATTTGCCTTTTTGTCTTGAAGGAACCACATCCCCAGGCAGAGGTTAGACTCAGCTTATTCTTAAACAAAAGAACTAATTCCATCTAGGCTGTCTCTGCAGGGCACAGTTAACTCCCATTTGTGCTCCCCTGTCAGACCAGGACAGACAGACACCCCTTCCATGCAGAGCTGCACTGGTGGAAGTGCTGAGGCCACTGTTGGCTCAGCTGTCCCTCCTGTCCCCAAACCCCTTCTTCTTCTTCAGACTGTAGATCTTCCTGCTTCTGCCAAAGCCATGCAGGCTGATTTAAATACTTGATGAAGGCACTTCAAAGAGATGACATGGCCTTTTCCAGACAAGCTCTGGAAGCACAAATCCAGAGCTGAGGTGCCTGCAGCAGGTGCATGGGCAAGACAGTCCAGTCACCACGTGAGCATCATAGAATCATAGAATCATAGAATCATAGAATCATAGAATCATAGAATCGATTGGGTTGGAAAAGACCTCTGAGATCATCGAGTCCAACCCGTGGTCCAAATCCAGTCCATTTACTGGATCATGGCACTCAGTGCCACGTCCAATCTGTGTTTAAAAATCTGCAGGGATGGTGAATCCACCACCTCTCTGGGCAGCCCATTCCAATGCCTGATTACTCTCTCTGTAAAGAATTTTCTCCTGATATCCAACTTAAATTTCCCCTGGCGGAGCTTAAGCCGAGTGCCTGGGAGAAGAGACCAACCCCCACCTGGCCAGAACTTCCCTTCAGGTAGTGAGCCTTCTCTTTTTGAAGGATTCCTCAGTTCCTGCCTTGCCCTGGAGGTGACCTGTTATCAACCAGCTTGGGATTCTTCTGCTGGCCCATCTGGGTGTAACAGCACCATCAGCACATCAGGGCTTTTATCTGCACTGCACATGGAAAATGTCTTGTAAAAGGGAGCAAAGCCTCTACTTCAGCCCTTAGCCAGGTTAGCTGGTTTGGGCCAAAAGTATCTGCACTGCAAATGATGTTTTCTCTTCAAGGGCAGCAGGAGAGTTAATGTTATCTCACTAAGTCCTTGTTTCTTTTAAAAAAAAATTCCTTTAGGAGAAATTCAGTCCTAAGAGATGTCTTATATACCATTCTTACGTTGGCTGGATAAAAACCAGCAAGAGCAGTTTGATCTTGACAAGATAATTTTATTTCTTTGTTTAAAGCAGTACATTTACAGGCTGTCTTGCCCTGTCTTCTTCTAAGGAAGACAGAAAAGGTTCACTCAAGGCCTTTTTCTAAGAGTTTCCACTGAGAGTATAAACAACCTTCAACAAAGCCTACAAACACCTCTCTGTGCCTGAGAGTTCTTCTCATTTTAGAGCCATTTCAGTTCACATCAGCATTGTGCTTTTGAAGTGAATCTCTGATTGTCCTGGTGTCCTGTACTTTGATTCACATCATGATGTGGTATTGAAGCACACGAACCAAATTCCTTTTGGATTAAACTGAAGTGGAAAATGCTGAAATGCATCTAATGCAGTCCAGCTGCAAGTGGCCATTCAGTCAAATGAACCCAACCACAGCTTTTTTAAAGCAAAAAGAGGAAAAATGTGACATGGACATCACACCCTCATCAACACATATTTTACTTTAAATTCACACTCCTCCTGGTCCATAAACACTGTTAATGCAGATGCAAGTTCAAGGATAATCTACTTCAAATTCAGCACTTTCCTATTTCCAGTTTTTCTTCTCTCTCTTTTCTGGAATTCCATGTTCATCATCTAGCCACTCTCTCCCAGCTAATTCTACCAGGTTCAGAGCTCTGGCAAGATACAGTTGTCTGTTCCCTGGGCAGAACAGCCAATTGCAAATGTTTTATTTAAAACTAAAGGTCCAATTACAGGTCCAATTTATGATCTCAGCCGAGCCAATATAAATCTGATCTAGTTCATTGCCTTTAACCTGCCTGCAGTAGCTTTATTCCAGATTTCCTCATGTGTAATGAAATTGAGTTCAGACAATGGCTCTGATTGTTACTTTTTAAAGAATTAACTAGTAATGTAAGCTGCAATGCAGAGTCCTTCCACCTCTGAAACAAGGCTTCATAATTGTCACTTGTGGGTCAAAAGCATATCTTCAGTCCAACAGTGCTTCAAGGACCAAAGTGCTTTAAAGACTTTACTCAAGAAAGTGAAAGGTGGGCACGCCAAGACATGAAGATTTCAGCAACACCATGTGAAAATTAAGGACAAAAACTTTGATTTTGGTTTTTTCCTTTCCCAGTACATTCCTTTATTCTTATGGCAACGTATTTGTGTCGTTAAATATGTAATAGAAATCTTTATGCAGTTTGGGTCGGGTTTTTTTTTTTTAAACACTTAGGAAGAAAACACCATCTCATTTTTTGGCCTTTTTGCAGAATGTGGTTAAAAAACCCAAGTAGCCACATGTGGCTTCCATAGTGCACACAGCTACTGAAGAAGTCAGTACTGCATAGTCACTTTGCAAATCAGAACTTGAAGTATGTTTGCAAGTTTTAGATTCAACATCAAATGTTTTTATTTGGTTGAGGGTTTTGATTTGGGGGGATTTTTTCAGATTTTTTAAACTTTATGCAGTTCAGTAATGTTAGATCTCACAAAAAATTCAATGCTAGTTTTCTTTTGGGCTTCCTCAGTCAGTCTCCTGGTTTTTATAACTAATTGTGAATTGAGAATAAGGAAATAATTATTCTTATATTTAACTTGCTTGTGTTAAAGAGCCCATTACCATGACTATTTACCCTTCCCCATATCCAAGAAAAATATTTAAGTAGACATGTAAAAAATACTTATTTCAGAGCTGTCCAGATCAGGTACAGGTTTAAGTAGGTGCTATCCTCAGAGAAACTTTGATCCAAAATTCCTAGATATCTCACTTTACTGCAGGGATTTTTATTTCAATCCCATTACCTAGGAAGAGGTGAAGTAAGTGAATAAATGCTCTACCCAGATCATGTGCTGGCAGTTGATTTTCAGAGTCTATGAGGGAACAGAGACAGAAACTGTCAGCAGCAAGAGCCACATCCAGCAAAACACAGAGGGACTGAGCATGAGGTTAAACCAGGATTCACTCATTTATACTCGAATGACACTACACACAATGCATTGGATATATAATATTAGAGGTGTATAATAAAAAAGCACGTTTCAGTCAGAGCTAAAAGTGAAATTCTTGACAGTGACAAAATTTTCTTGCCCAGGACTCAGAACACAAGAACCCAACACAGCTCTATGACCTTCTGAGCTTGTTCTGGCCCTGGGTTTAAGTCTGGGCTTGGAATTAGTTTGAGGTGCAGTAATCACAGAAAGAAAACACGTGCAGGGATATAACTTCATAAAGAAACAACAAAGCTGAAACAGGTTTAGAGAATTATCCATCAAATTACACTTTTAAGAATGGCTGTTAAAATGTTGATGAAAGAATGTAAGATGATGAGTCAGGGACACTAAAAGACCAAACACTTGGGTTCTACAAGATATTACACTGAGCACTAAGAATTTCACTTTATAACCCAGTGTGATTAAACAACATACTGCTGAAACTGCAGATGTTATACTACTACAGTAAAAAAAAAAAAGTCATATTTTAAAAATGTTTCTAATTAAATCATGAAAGACCACAAAGAAAACAGGGAGGGGTTTTGCTATGAGTGCAGTCATATAGAAGGACCAGGATTTGGGGCTGATCTTTGAAGTTTCCTTCTTCAAACCACATGGCCTTGAAGCTATTGAAAGCTTGAAAGATTTTCCTGGTGAAACTGTGTAATTTTACAGTTATGTTGTACTAGTCAGTGATCTGTGTGAGCTGTTTGTAAGGAAGGATTATTTTTAAGGAAAATCTGTTTTCAGCTTGACCTTGGATTCGTATTTCTAAGGCAGCTGAAGAGAAGGCAACATTCCCAGCAGTGCAAATTGCTGCCAGGAATGTAACATTCAAATCTCAGTTAAGCCTGTTTTAAAATGGCACTGATAAATAGAACACTCACAATAACTCACCAATTTTTCAAAACAGAAGTGTTAACATAAAATAAGGTTTCAGCGGGATTTGTCAAAATAATCATTTGTGTAGGGGATGTTCTTTATTTTAAGATAATCCTGATTTCTTGGGCATTAGGCAAGAAACTTTTCTGAACTAAAAGAAGTTTGAGAATTCTGTTACCTCAGTATTTAGGACTTTAGTATCTGAGCAGTGAGTGGCTGTTAGTTTTGCTGCGTGTATTTACCACTGTGACATTTCACACCACTTGTAAAACTATTGTCATGTTGCCTTTATTTATAACATCACAAACTATTTCTGAATTCCTTATTTATGCTCATTTAGAGGTTGAAAGTATTGTGCAGTCTTTCCCCATATCTCTTCATCCTGATAGGATTATTTTTCTTTGCTCTTTTTTTTTTTAATTGTTTAGCCTAGAACTTTGTATTTATTGAGAGAAATGTTTTTGTGTTTTTTTTTGACTCAGATGCTTTTCAGTTGTTTTCCCAAAACTTGCTATTTCATTTAGAAATATTGCTGTTCTTAATGTAAATGGTCACTGTTTTTGTAATATCCAAATTACTTGATACAATAATCCTGTAAAATGATAAGTAATTATACCAAGATATTCACCCTCCAAACAATTACATGGACCACAAAATTTACTAGATCTTTAAAATATTTTACAAGAATATTTATTTTATACTTCTCTAGACTGTATTTATTTAAAATGTTATTGTAATAATTTCTTTTCTAGAGTTACCATTTTCCAGTAAGAGAAAAACATCAGCAATCATTCTGACAAACTTCCTCTAGATATTTTTATAAAGAGCAAATAGCATTATAGGAAAATAAATCTGAAAAGGTTATTGTCTTCTTCACAATATTTATAAGCTTCAATTAAAAAAAAAAAAACCAGAAATAAATGGTTTTGATCCTTTCAAATGTTCCATGAGTGAGATATTCACATCTTAAACATTCTGCACTGTCACACGTATGTTCAAAATATCACTTAGTGATATTTCCAGTTTAAAAAGAAAATGTTTCTGTTTCGATAAATTTTTGGGGTAGATGAAGGTTTATTTGACTTCCTTTTTTCCCCTAACTCTCCAGCAATTTCTGCTTGCAACGAAATACTCAACAGACCTTGAAACCCTCCGTGCTCCTGAATTCTTCCAGGAAAATTTGGGAGCGCCTCAACTGCTTCTGGGGTCGCAAAATTCCTTCCAGCACGAGGAACAGTGGTAAGTTCATACTTAAAAAGCTCTACTTTTGTCAAAATCCCATTTATTTATGACACTTCATATATAATCTGATCAACTGGTGTTTAAAAATTCTTCCCCAAACTGATGTCTCACATCTTGGCACGTTCTGACTCACAGATCCTCAACAAAACACATAAAGAAAGTATTTCTTCCCTTTTTAAAGACAACCCAAAGCAAAACCCCCAACCATTTAAACAGAAATTCATCAGGAAAATTAAATGTGTTCAACAACATCATCCTAAAACACCTGATATTTAAAATCTATGGTAAATTTCAGGAACATTTTTAGTGTTCTCTCTACATTACCTCACTTGGATCATTTGTCTTTCAAAGGAGTAGTAAACCTTAATTTGCTTTAGCAGCTTTGAATGGATTTTTATTGTTTCTTACCACAGCCTTTCAACTCTAGTAATTTGCAAACTAAATATGAACTGCAAAACTCAATCAATCCTGTAGTATTCTTTTAATATCAATTTTTGTGTAATTAGCCCCCAAACTGTGTTCAATTACTGACAGTTATTCTGATGCACTTTGAGGGACAACACTAATTTCACACTTAGCAGCATTTTAAAAGGAAGGTGATTCCAACACTATATAAAATTCCCTCTCTCAGTGCAGTCTCTCTGCTCAATTCAGCATCGTTGCAGACTTTGGGAGAAAAATAGGATTTCCAGTGTGGTACAACACCAGAGCTCTGGTTTTACAAAGCCACACGTGTGTGTGTGATTCTGTCTGGCTGTGGTTTGTTACATTTGTTGTTATGACACCAACTAGGCCTGTTATGAGCTTGGCTGTGCTCTTTTCAAACCAATAAAATTATGGGAAAATCCACCTAAATTGATGCACCACATGAAAACTAATGATTAAAGTGGCGCAATCGGGGTCTCTGACACTCAGATTTCTTTCTCAAGTTTTCCTACAGATATTAGGAACATCCCTCTTACAACTGTTGCAAGGTGCCTTCCCTCAGGTTATAAAATCACGTTTTGTCACCTTCAGCCCATTCCTTCCCCCTGTCCTGTAAGAATACAAGTGGAAGGGGTTGGTGATGTCATTGTGGTTCCATGGTGATGATATACAGCTCCTGTTCCATTGGGGTCACTGGAACTATCAGTCACTTTGTAGGGACAAATTATTTTTGTTACATCCATTTTGCTGTTGGACTCTCTGATGGATCCTGTGACAACTGGAAATTCTGTTTATTTATGTGCATGTTTAAGAGGTTGTCAGTGGAGCCCAGAGCATTGACTGGGTACTCTTATTAGAGAGCAGTAAATATCCAAATAAAGAAATAAATCAAATGACACCTCCCTCAAACGAGAGTTACAAAATGGAGCTAACAAATATTGATAAGCAGCAGTCTTCAGAAGACCTTCTAAATTATGCTCTGAAGTTTAAGCAGAGGAGACAAGGAAACAGAAGAGTTATTGTCAAAACAGCAGGCACACACTTAACAACGAAAATAACAACCTTTTGCTGGTAAATGACAGCCAGTCTTGGCTCTAGTGTATATCTCAATGATATGAAGGGAAGTTAGATGGTAAATAAACTTGTAGGCACTGCAAGTCACCAGGGAAAAGTCAAAACTTTATAAAACTGTAGGAGTCAACTACAGACCATGCCAGTGACTGCTGAGGTAACACCAGCAACAACAGGAGAATGTCATAATAAGAGGAGGCCCCAAATCATGCTCAGTCAGCAGCACTGGGAAAAAACAAAACCTGACTTGGGGGAAAAAGGTGACCAAAATGCCACAGAGCCCCTGCAGGACAGAAAGAAATGATGACTGCTGGCTAAGGAGGAGCTGTCTGGGGAAAAGGGGGAGCTGTGCATGTGTCAACCCCAGCTGGGAAAGGTGTATTAAAATGCAGAATAACCCAAAGCCCAGTGAAGGCTATAAAATTTGTTTCTGCTGACTCGGGAGGCGTCGGAGAATGAACCCACAGGTGACAGCAGCAGCCTCAGAAGCTTTTGCAGACTAAGGAAAGGTAAGATTTTTACAGTATTGCACCGTTTGTAAAGGTACAGGATCGAAAACAAGTAGTACTGCTGAACAATCCACAACTTCACAGCAGCAATTATCCTCTCTAGAGTGAATAATGGCTGTGAGAATTAGGGGCAAAAAACACTTATGACAAACACTAGAATGTTTCTGACAAGAATTTTTACACTTTATCAGCTAAGTAATATGATTTTAAAATTGGGTTGCTGTAGTTAACTAATTGCAGTGATTTTTAGCATTGTAGATCTAAACTATTATGTGAATTATGTAGATTAAAACAAGTTAGCTAAACATTTTTTGTATTTGCACAAGAGATCACTAAGGATATTTTGTATTGGATCACAAAACATTTTAAAGCTGAAAAACTGAAATAGCAAAAGATAAAATTCAGGTTTCCAAAATTCAGCGAAAGATAAAAGGTCTGGTTGAAACAGTCGGGCACAGAATCTCCTGGAGAAGACTGAAGCTGTACTGTGGGTTCACCTGCTTCTGTTTACCTACTGCAGCAATCCTGGGATGTACCAAACAATCTGTGCAGCAATACCCAGGCACAATATAGCAAGTTAATAACAGAGCTTCAGTCTTAACTGTGAATTCCCTTGCATTAGTTGGTATATTGCTGATACAGACAGGGTTTTGTGGCTTAATACGAGGCAGCACAGAGAGTGTCAGCTGGAAATCCATTGCAGAGTTGTGGAACAATATACAGAATATAATAAAGCCATTCCCACCTTCCCATTCCTTTCTTGCAGTAGGAAGCCAACATTTAGAAACCCATAGCAAACAAACACCTGCTAAGCATAAATCACGAGCAGGAGCACAGCACTGGACAAGTTCAGAGAGATAGGATGGGAGAAAAAGCCATGAAAAATCTTAATAGTCATTAGGAAAACCTAGCATTTATTTCACAAACTGACAGGTGGCCAGTGAATCGACTTCAGAGCAACCATAAAGAGAGAGCTGGTTATTATGCCAGTAAAACTTAAACAGCAGAGCTTTTTAATAAGCTGCACTCTGTTAGGAGTACACTGAGGGAGCCCAAGCAGGAAAAAGCAATAATCACATCTAGCAATAACAAGAGGATCAACTAATATCCATCATAATTTCTCCCTGTTTTGCTTCTCCCTATTAGTATGACATATAGTAGAAGTAGAAGCAGCCTAACAAGATACCGAGCAGAACAGGTGCAGAAGCTAAAACGCCTTCCATTTAGAGAGTCAGCATTTTTCTTTGGAAAAACCTCTGTGTGCTGTGCAGGTTGGAGCCTGGGTTGCCCATTGCTTATCCCCATTGTGTGATGTGTGCACTATTTTATCTCTTCCTGCAGAGTTTGGTTGTGACACACATAACACATGTGCCCGTAAAGTTCCCCGGCAAGGCGCTGCAAAGGTTCAATACATGTCATGGCAGGCGTATTTCTTTGTTAATTCCATAAAGACAGGCTGGAGAAGCCAAGTCTCCTACGAGTTTTGTGTCCGCAGCGGGGAGAAACGGGCACTTTGCGTGCCATCATTATCCCAGAGTTATGGGGGACTGTGTGATACTTTTACTCTTGCCAGAGAACGAGAGTGGAAATGGCACTGCCCCGTTCCTAACGCTTAATGTATGACCAATCAGGAGCTGGAAATCATCTGACCAGTGGCAGCTTATGCCAGCCCATCAGTTCGTAAATTGGATGCAGTTTGTCAGATGGACACAATATCCCTCCACTGTAGGTGGTCTCTGTTTCATTAGGTTTCAGATTGATGGCAGTGAACAATAATCCAAAAGTGTGCAATAGGTACATCAACCTCATTTTTCATTAACAGTGCTTCCCAGACGTATTGGGAGCAGGTACAAAACATAGATTTTGTTTGGCTTACTTTGATCCATGCAGAGACTATTGGGTATCTGACTTCGCTGCTGGAGGCTTATGGTTTCGGTTAGCAGAACCTGGTACAGCAACTGGATGAGGTGTTTCTGATATTATCTATTCATTCAGCTCTGATGCAGAAATAGTGGGTGGCAAAGCTGCTAATTTTAATATTTTTTTTTTTTTTTTACGAAGTAATGAGCAACCAACAATTTATTTACGTACAAAGCACTGGAGTTACCAGAGCTGCCTTTCTGAATTACAGGGTAGATACGAGACTGGTGGTGATTTTTTTTTTCTCCTTTATTTCCCAAGAGATTAACAGAAATGTTGGTGCATTTTTGCTGCTTCTAAAAGAAATTAAAAGACTGAAAGTCTTTGCCAGGGTCACTGAAATGACACACAGAACAGCTACTGGTGCATCTTACACGGTTTTGACTTATGGGGATGGGTTTTACTTCACAGTGAAATAAATTAAAGTAGTATTCAATGTTGCCCAAATACTGAGTAATTGAAAAGGCATTTTTAAACCAGGGGACTTTGGATCCCTGCAAACAATATAATATTTATAAAGCTCACAGAAAAACTGATATTAGACTCTGCAGCAGATGAGTAAGAACCTCTATCATCAGGACTGATAGGGCACCACATGCTTTCACTATCTTTGATACAGTTTTCTTTCTAATTTGTATATTAAGAGAGTCCATCCACACTATTAGCAAGTTAAACATACTTATTTTAAAAGCAAAATCAGAGCTCTAAGTAAAGTATTACGAAGCAAAAATTACATTTTAGTGTTAAGACGAATGGATTTTATTATGTGGAGGTACACGGGCTGTTAATCATGTAACATCAAGCCATCGGTGCAGTCAAGACAGGCAATATGGTTTACTCTTTGGGTGCATTTCTTATCTCAATTGTACAAGAAGTTTCCATCCACAATATTTCATTGTCTCCTCCTGAGGAATGTTCCTCCGGGTCCTGAAGATTTAAAGAAACCTCTCCGTGTGCACAGCACGAACACGAGCGCTGCTCTCTGTGGGGCTGAGGGAGGGGGAGGCCTGTGTGTGTGTGCATGGGTTTGGCAGGAATTCCTGTGGAATGTACTGGTGCAGGGTCTCCCATCGTGCCACTCTTTCAACAGCACCTCTTATCATTGTTTAAGAATATCTTTTCGCTTTCATGCTTTTCTCTAGTTATTTAACATAACTGGGCAACTTTTCTTCTGAACTTCTAAAACATGTGTCCATCGCCCTGGTTTTCCAGCCTTGAGCAAGTCTCTTTAATAGATCACTTTTAAGGTGATGATACATTGATATTCTGCTTTAATTAGTGTCATGAAAGAGAAAAAGCCCCTCAAATGTCAATGGCTTGCAAAAGTTGTTGGAGCATCTTCTTAAAGCAAATCTGAAGGCCTGGCCCTCACTTTTTTCCTTCCTTTCACATGATCCTATTAGAGGAGTTTTTTTGTAAACTGGTGTTATAAACGATTATTTTTAGTTAAGAGAAGCACCAGGAAAGATTAAAAAATGGATATAAAGACATTTTGGTTCTTGATCTTCTTTCTTCTCATCTCAACCTTTAGAAAGTCTTGCTGGAAGAACACAAGGAACAGCAGGAAGGTTTCTAACAGATCTTTGAGACCTCCTTGCAGTCAGATCCCAGGGGAGCTAGAACAGTATACCTCTGTGGTTCAAAAACTCTTTGGGCCAGAAAAAGGGGCCTTTATCTGCTGCCATTTCAAACATATTCAATCAAATATTGATCTAGAAAATCAGCCACTTTTTCTCTAGCAAAGAAATTAAATTAGTGCTACCTACTGAAGATCTACAAATGGTTCTCCTGAAGATAATGATAGTACCCTAGGCTGTTCCTAGGATCAAAAGTTTTTATGGACACCAAACTGATTTAATATTTTCTGTAATGCATGGAGAAGAAAGGGTGAAAAATCTGCTTGCCAATAGGAATGTGCTGGAGATTATCTCATGTGGCGAGTCCTTGCATCAAGGAGCCAGGTAGGTTTTTCAAATCCATCTCATCTTTGGAACAAAAGGAACAGAATGGAGCCCATTTCACCTTACACAAAGATTTTCCTCATCAGAAATGTCTGATACCTCTTATTTAAGTTGGTGCTGGTAGCACGTGCTCCTCTAACTCATAAACATTTCCTCTCTGCTGTGTTCTGCTTCCAGATGTCACTTTTGTTGCTTTGGAAGAAGTGAGAAGTCTCTTCTTCACACCCTAAGCACTAATAGTTCATAAAACGTGTCTAATGTGCAACAATGGGAGAAAGATTCCTTCAAAAATATTTCAAGTCCCATTGTTGAAACATTTTCATCATTTGTGCTCTGAAAAAGGTAGTCTGTACAAAAGAGCACGAGGGTTTAATGATTTAATTAGGACTAGTCTATGATTTTACTGGGAAAAATAATGAGGCATTAGCTCTTATTAAAGGGTTTCTCACATTCTCACCCACAAAATCATGTCTCGGGGATGTAACTACACCGAGACAAGGAACTGAATTGTTGCTGATGGAACCAGTAAATGGTGGATTTATCACCTCTCTCATTGCTTGAGAGAGAAATGTTTGGAAATTCTGACAGTTCGTATTCCTCACTGGACCTGTAAGATTGGACTCAATCTATGCACAGGGAAGAGGTACTAGGTATAAACTTTGTGAATGTGTAGAAGCATCTCAGAGGTTTTGAAGGACCATCTTCAAAGAGAGTTAAGTGGTTTTGAAACTCAGAGCTTCACCAAAGACTCAACTACTCCCTTCTAGTGTTTGGTTTGGCTGGTTGTGAATTCTGTTTGAATTGTTAATTAGTTTCTGTGTTTAGACTGTCCACTGGTAGTCATAGCTATCATGAAATCATTTTAAATAATAATCATTCAATGTTCTGTATGCAGTTCCACAGGATTGTGGAGGTTGGAAGGGACCTCTTGCATCATCCAGTCCAAGTCCTTGGCTCAAACAGGGTTGGCAGGAGCTGGTTGCCCAGGACTGTTCCCAGTCTCCACCAATGAACTCCCCAACCTCTCAGCAGCCTGTTCTGGTGTTTGTGCATCCTCACAGGGCAAAGGTTTTCTCGTGTTCAGACTGCACATTACACTTTTTGCATCCATTATCACACTTTTGTCCTGTCAGTGGGCACTGCTGGGAAAAGTCTGGCTCCCTATTCTTCATTCCCTCTGATCACATGTTTATGCACATCGACATTCCCCTCCCCAAACCTTCTCTTCTCATATGAACAGATGTCCTTAAGTCATCAGCTCACCAAAAGAATTTCAGTGTAGGTATCTTGAAATCATTTGCATAAAGCAATATACATTTTCAAGGGATTTAGAACCCAAAAAATGCTATGTGCAACCATTGGCTGGGAATTTTTCTGTCAGTGATCTTGTATAAGGCAGATAATCCAGCAAAGAGGTTCAGGCTCCTTCTTGTGAAAGGACTCCTTTGTGTAAAAATACTTCCACTCTTCATATTGAGCTCTCAGAGTTCAAAGAGCTCCGAAAATCTAACACATGGAAAAAATTCTGTAACGTGGGTTCCAGGCAGATGTAAGGTGATGTGAGGTTACGTAATTATCAGGCAGACATCCTAATTCTGTGTGTGATACAATGTAACCCATGTTCTTGGGAAAATAATAACACAGTTGCCTTTTAAAGGAATTACAGAGCATGAAGATGTGGAGTTAAAGATTAATATAACTTAGAGGATTACTTTCTGCTTTTAGGGAAGCATCAGTGAAACTTGTTTAGCTTCCATCTACTAAATCCCCAAGTTGCTTGTTTCTGAAAGGGATAAAAGAGGCTCCAAGTGTGCTGAGTGTCCTCTCAAACACAAATGACAAATATTCTGAAGGAACTAAATTAGCCCCTTCAGATGAATATTCTACAAAAGATGCATTTTGAAATGTCCAAAGGTCTCAGAACAACACTCCCAAAGCTGGGGTAACAGAAGCACTACTTTTAAATGAACCTGATCTGGTAAATAAAAATTGTCTTTCTGATTTTCCATGTACATCAGGACATCCCCTTTTCAATTTAGCTATTAGAACTCATTGGATATGTCATAAAAATATGGATAAGCTGCTTAATCATTTAAGTCTAGCCTTTCTAACCCTCCCAAAATGTAAAGAAATCAAGCAGTCACAAAGCTGGAAACAAAACCAGAAACTCCACGCCCAGCAAACTTCCCATAGCTATCAGACCAAAAAGCTTTCACTTAGTTTTTGTCATGGATCAATCCAACCCAGAGCTATAAAAAGGAGGCAAGAATGACTTCTCAGTTTTCACTACAGTAGAATTTGACATCAAGTGTGTCCTTTTCTGCAGCAGGACTGTCACAGTTTAATATCTTTTTTTAATGAACTGGAAAAAGGGATGAGCATTGAGGTGATAAAATTTGCAGGTGACACAAAATTATTCAGGTTAATCAAATCTGGAGAGGGTAATAAGAAACTTCAGAAGAAAATAAACAAGTTAGGTGAATGATCAGTCTGATGGCAGGTTAAGTTCCGTGTTGATATATACAAATTAATGTAGTTTACAAGGTTGGGGTTTTTAAAAGTCTATTTTTACACCTTGGTATGTTCTAAATTAATTGTATCAAAGGCAAAGGACCCAGAGAGCATTGTCAAGAGTGCAATAGTGGCCTCCACTTGGCATGCAGCTATAGGAGAAAATTTTGGTACAGGAAGGAAGAATAATATGAAAACCTCTTTAAAGTCATTAAATTGATTGTCCTCTGCATTTCAAACAGCAAATGCCATCCTGGTCACCAGCTGCAAGCAGAAGGTTTGCAAAAGTAGAAGCAGCTCCATGCAAAAGAATGCAAAGGATGAGGAGAAAAGATTGGGCCAATTGGCATCACCAGCTTCCCAGAAAGGCTGCAGGGTAGATGGGATAAAAACATAATATATGATATATATGATACAAAAACGAAATAACACCTTGATAAGGTGGATGACATGGATGACAAGAACACCCAGGGAAATTTTAAGCAGGACACATCCTCCTCAAACACTGTGGAGCTTGTTGCTGTGGGACATCAGTCTGGCAAAAATGAAAAAAGAGATTGGGCATTTGTATGAACTCAGAGGTTTTTAACTCTGGAGTTGAATTTTTCAGTTTGCCTTTTGCTTTGCTTTGCAAAGACAGTTCTGCAGGAATTGCTTCCATCTATTACATAGAGGCTGGTTAATCATAATTTTCCTCACAGTATTTCTTCAGGATAATTCCCCAGTAAGAACATCTGCAGTAAGAAAAAGAAGACTAAAACTGAGAGATAGAGTGATAAAAGGGATAAGAACTGTTAGGTAAATAGAGCCTAAATGGAAGTAATGGACTTTTAGCATGGGTCAGCTGTGCTGTAATTGTGAGCTAAATTTAGTTGAATTAGGAGACTGCAAGCAGGTGACACAGCTGGCTAAAGAGCTGTCCTTGAGGTAATTCAGCAGCACACTTCTCCTCCCGAAAAATGCTCCCAGCATTTCTTGAAAGAGAGTTTGCACTGGTCTGTTTAAGGTTGATTGCTATTGAAATAGAACCCACAGAAGCAATTAACAGTCAGCAGCCCTGCACTGCAACCAGAGAAGGAGCCCTGCACTGCACAGAGTGGCAAACATGAGGTTTAATAAATAGGAATTCCAAGGGATTTTCACAGGTTTAGTGGAGTGGTGACATATGTTATCATCCTGCTTACCACAGACTGCAATAGGATTTTACACTGTCATGTCACATCGGCCCATGATAACCAGAAGTCATTTATTTCCTAAGAAAATAGTAACTAGATATGACAACCTGTGTTGCCTCATGGTGAGTTTGTGGTAGTATTTACTGATAATGTGAAGTATAACTTGTGTCATCTATTAGATTTTGCAGTAGAAATTCAGAGCATTTCTACCGTCAAAAGAACAGCTCATTTTTTTTGTGTCTTGTCTTTTTGGTTGATAACATAATAAGAACTTCTATCACTTGCATACAGCTTACATTAAAAACTTTATAGCAATTCTTAGATTAAGAATCAATCTATCTTCAAAGTACAATAAATAATTAGACCTCTTTGTAATTATAAAATTCCTCATTATTTAGCTCCTTTTTTTGCAGAGGTAGGGAGAGATGTATTTATCTGTCTCTCTGTGCTTCTATCTATCTAGTGGGTCTCTCCTGCTTTTATTTTTCTAGACAGGATATACTGGTTGTATTTTAACGCTGCAGAATCTGAAATGAGTCCTCTATTAAACTAAGAATGCATAGTTACCATTCTGGTTTTATTTTCCTCGGGAAACATAAATAATTAAACTTGACTTCAAGTAAAAAGATGAAGTTAGCCTTCCTACTGTACTCCAATCATTTTTCCTTTATGGCTTGGCTGGCAGGATGGTAATCCTGGACTCTTGCTAGAAATTACCACCTGAGAGTTCTCTTCATTTGAGTCCTTTTGCAAGGTGGATGCAGTGGATGTCTACAACACAATTTAAAAGGCTTTTCATCGGGCTTCACTCTTGATTTCTACTGTAAATTCCACAAGCTACAGTAGTTTAATGCAGGAGCATAGATGTCCATAAAAAGCTGGAGGGAATGGTGTAAGTTATAATGCTGTTATAAAACTGTCTGTGATATTAACACACACTGTATATTAAATACACAAAACTGTTACAATAACTTGAAGGCTGAGGCAAACTCATGAAAACAAATAAATTCTTTAGGACAGTAGGCAAAAGGTTGTTCTTTGCAAAAAGATTTAAATGCAGTTGTACAGCAGTCCAAATTAACCCCCTCAAATAAAAAGCTTCCTCCACCTAGTCATGTAGTCTGTGCACAAAAATACACACACAAAATGGATTTTCCAAGGAGGTCCTTCACCTCCATGTAAATTCAGGCTCCTGATATGTGTACTGGGGGAAAGGCAATATCCCTGCATGAGAAGAGAGGGAAAGGACCCTCCACACAGCAGGTCAGAGCAGAACCCCAGTTCAGGTGCTCTCTCTGCAGGAGCTTTTCTTCCAGCATGGATTTTACAGGAAGCTTTTGGAGTCTGACCTCCTCACTGGGACCACGTTCTCAGTGTACTGTCAGATACCAGGAGGATGAATATTTCCCTCTTGCCTGTCACATTGATACCATTGGCCCTCCCAGTGTGGCAAATAATGTCAAAACAAAACAGTGAGAAGTGCATATAAAAATGGAATAAGGCACAAATTCATGCTCATATTCTGCTCATAGTTACATTATTGTAAACCCAGAATAACTCCAGTGGCTTAGCTCAGGATAGGACAGAGCACTCACACTTAATTTACTAAAACATGTATTTTTTTTCCCCTCCATTTATAGCATTGCCAGCTGAGTGTAAGACTATTTTATGTGGCAGGGTTCCTCATTTCTGGCCCAGCACAGTGCCTGGCTTTTCAAATGCCTCCTAACCCCACCCAACATTCATCTTTTCATGGGTTTTTTGTCTCTTGAAACATCAGTGGAGGGGAAAGTACAGATGTGCTTAGGCACAATTGCACTGAATTACAGGTGGCTGCCATTTTAGGTAGTCCCAAGGTCATGAATAGCAAAATATGAAAATTTCAGCTCTTTACTGTTGATCAAAACCTTAATATGTTCCCTGACCCTCCACTAGATTCAACCTATAAAATGAGAGAAGCTTAATAAATCTCTCTGTAATAAGTATTACACATTATGTCAAGGAAAACTTAGATCAAGCTTCTCCTTTGAAGTTTTAATGGACACTCCAATTTGATGACAGCAACTCACCTGTGCTTGTAATAAGTTTGCAAAGCCTGGAGCAGCTCCAGTCCTCTGGGACTGCAGCTCTGGATGACAATGAGCCCAGGGAGCTGCAAGCTTCAAAGGGATCATTCAAATAGTCCAGCTCTGGCCTTACCAGGCAGTGCAGGCAAACTTTGAAATACTTTTCTCCCTATCAAAGAGTATTTCCAGGTTGAGCTGTTCATAATAATTTGGTCCTGGGATAAAATTGCAAAGCCCTCCAGTTTGAAAAGGATTAATCAGATTATGCCCCTTTGCTCCACCCTTGTGCAAGCCAGGAGAGGGGGAAGAATAACACCCCTACCATTCCAAATAATGCTGAATGAAGGGGAACATATGTAAACGTTCTCAAAGACTGGGTGAAATGGATGTGGAGAAAATTCTCCTGATGAAATGAGGGGGTTTTGTTCGAAAAAAACCTTACATGTGAGTTTGTTATTATGACCCAAATCTTGCATAGATTTATGGACAGATTTACCTTCCTGCACTGCATTCCATTTTGGTGGAACTGCCAACCACATGTACAGACAATCATTTGTACAAATCTGTCTGATAATGAGCATCTAAAGGCTCAGAACTGAATTTGTTCTCTCTTTGCACAGGAAGGATGAAGCCAAAAAAATGCTGTTTGTGTGGCGTAGTGTGTTACAACCACAGTGTTATGCACCCCGTAGACACGAATCCCTAGTGATTAAAACTGCTCTAAAAGGCAGAGAAAGTCACTAAACATCTGTAAGATTAAAGAGGAGAATGCAGCCCTGTACATTTTCAAAAATCAATTATGTAACAAGGGTGTAGTTTACCAACAGAAAACATTAGGCAATCATTTTAGCAAGGCTGTTCTTCCCATGAACACACAGGATCTGCCCCTGTCCAGGCACAGATCTCCTTTCCTTATCCCACGAGTCAAAGGTAACTTTGATTTCCTCAATGATCCTTCTTCCTGGGTGAACGTGGCACCACATTATCTTGGCTTTTATTTTTCATTCCCAGTTTAACAGTTATAAACACCTTTCAACATCAAATAAGAGCAGCAGGGTAATCCAGATAAAAGAAAATTCTTCAGCCCTAACAGCCTGACTCAGATTTATGTGCCTGTTTCAAATTTCTGCTCCTCATTCCAAGACTTGCAACATTTCACAAGTACCACATAATGTGCTACTTGATTGGCCTTTCCAAGGATACAATGTGCTGCAACACATTGTTGGGGAGTTTTATAGGTGTGTATCCCCACCACTTCTGGTAATCATTGAAAAAATATATCACGGCCTCCTCTTTCTGTGCTCTACAATCCTGACGTTTCTTAATATCAGGTTGTCTTGCAGGATGTCAAACTGGGTTTGAATTATTTTACAGGGTTCTCAGTTAAAACACTGTCATGTAAATCAATCACAGCCTCAGCTCTCTGGCAGGGAACTGCAATCTTGAAGTACAGCCTTCAAATGGAATCAGTGCTGTTACCAGATTTCATTGTAGGACAGCAACGACCAGTCTGGGATTTACTTGTTACTGTCCCAGGTAAAACCTTTGCTAATAAATTATTGCCAAGGGTATGAGCATTCCACAGGAGGTTTCACTTGTTTAACCTTGACCCAGACATTGCCAGTTATCACTGTTAACCAAGCAAACACCAATTTCTATTTTTGGCCTGAAGCAGCTTTCAAAGCCCCTGTGAGGCTTCTTGCAGCTTTTCCTCCCAGCTGAGCTGTTTTCCCGGCAGGTTACACAGTTGCACTGTAACCTCATTTTACAGACTGGACACTGAATCCTTGAGCTGAAGGTCTTATTCAGCATTATGTTTTACATGGGGTGAAGTAGGTGTAAATCACCATCACTGATTATTTTCTTATTGCTACAAAGTTTTCTTTAAGGTGTTTATAGAGACCTATGGTTTATAAATTATTTCCCATGTCCCACAGCATTAGTGTTTATAGCTGGTAGTTAGAACATCGTTTATTAAACATCTTTTGAAGCATCATCCATATGTATTCCCAGATGTTAAAGCATACCTACAATAAGTTAGTTTTAAAGTAATTTCTACTAATCATGTAGGATTAGCAAAATCCTTATAAATCAATCTTAAAGTGTCACCACTTTATTCTCATAAGTCAATAATTGGTGACAAATGAC